AAATTAAAGGTATCTTATATTATTAGATACGTTATTATAAAACATGTTTTAGTTAAGGAGTTATTGATACTTCAAGTGCAAAATGATAATATAAAACCTTAATAAAAATGCACTTTTAAGTACTAATCACATGTTACACAACTTTTTTCCTATTTATAATACAAAAATGTACAAAAGCTACAAAAACACTACCTCCTAGGGGATCAAAACAAGTTTAAATAGTTTTTTCTCAAAATTGTTAATTGTTGTGACTGTCAACAAACTACATAACATGTTGCAATTTCTTTTAATATGCTATCCAATAAACTATCATGCCAATCTTCCATACCATTGTACAAGTATCGTTGTGCCATTGTACATCTTAGATAGTCCCTCGTCCAAGTCAAAGTTGTGTGAGGTATGAACCTGCTATTTGCACGTATTGTTATACATTAGTATCGAATCTATCATTGCCCATACATGTTACCATATCCTAATATTGTTTTCATCATGCATCCTCATGCCTAGACCTATGACAAACCTTCCACACTAAAAGAGTCTGACACCCTTATTGAAAAATAAATAAGGTAGTCTTGTACTAAATCCTAAAATTAACACAAGTTAGTTCTCTCTCCTAAGAAACCTCATAATCATTTTCCTATCTTACCAAGAACTTAGTATAGTGATTTTTCTTGTGTTGCCCAAGTCTTTGGCTATCCATAATCTTGATGATTCTATTGTCAAACTATTTATAAATCATCGGTGTGACTTACTTATTTATGGATCCTTTTTTGTTTCCATGAAAAGGTTCTAAATAACTCTCATGAAAGGTTGGGTAAAGTTTCAACCATTTTGAAAGCTTTAATCCATAAGCAATACCCTACTTTTTCCATTATCTCAAATGGTTTATCATTTCTCAACACCAATCATCAATACCTTATATCCCCAGCAATCTATTTTCTAAATAAAAGGAGTCAATTTAAGCAACACCTTATCACCAACATTGAACTCTAAGGGTCTCTATATGTTATCTACATACTTTTTTATACATTTAATTGTCTTACACAGTTGTTTTAAGCCTACTTAAACATTTTTTTATCTTTCACTTGCAAACTTGTGTGTGGTTGAGATTTTCCTATCAAACTTCAACACTGCTATTTCAACATAGTTTTAAGGCTACACTTCCAACACTAAATCAAATGGGCTTGAATCTATCATGGATGATTCATGGAGATTATAATAGAACTATGCATGGTCTAACAACTCTAGTTAGTTTTGTTGCATGGTTATTACATAATGCTTTAAGTATTACTCCAATAAAGCATTCACCCATTATGTTAAAGGGATGATTCACAGTGAAAATATTTTGTCAAATGGGCTTGAATCTATAATAGACAATTTGTAGAGATTATAATAGAATCGACACAATCCAACAACTCTAGTTAGTTTGTTGTCTGGTTGATACATAATGCTTTAAGTATTCCTTTAACAAAACATCCACCCATTATTATTTTTTCCTGTTTGTTTGGGGATGATTCCCAATGAAAGATTTTATCTCCTCCTCAACAAGCTAAACAATATAGTATATAACCTACCAATAAATCACACATCACGATCACTAACAATGTTTATAAAAATTCCAAAATACTTTTACCATATTTCTGTAAAATAACCCATTTACAACTTTTGTCATGGCTATAATGAACTTGTTTTTTTATTAAAAAAAAACTTTATTTTGTTGATATACTAGACACTTTTTGATGTAAAGCTGATACGAACCTCGTGATCACATGGTCACGCAACCCACACACAAAGACACCAATTCCCAGAAAGCCAAGTAAATCAGGTTTGATAGGAGTGTGACACAAAGATAACTTGTACCTAGGCACCAACACTATTGAAAACGGAAACCCCCACCCAACGAATATTGATCCGCGAACGAGAAGTGTAAGGATGACGCCACGAAAATAGTTGTTCTTCGATAAGTCGTTTTCAGTTATTTAGAGAACCAAGGAAGGGAGATTATCCCACCAACACACAATAAGTGCAGCAAAGAAGTTTATTGATCTGAAAATTGCGTAAACTTACATGTTTGGTTATGCCTTTATTTATAATAAATTTGGACTTAAATAAACCCTAATGGACCTCCCTTAGGTGGACTTATATGAAACCCACTTATAATTGACCCAAATAAGTAATAATAACC